TCTTCTTCTTCTTCTTCTTCTTCTTCTTCTTCTTCTTCTTCTTCTTCACAGAAAAACAGTCCAGTTGCCTTTTGAAAAAGCACATTTGCAACAACCAAGACCAGGAGGACTCAAATCTCCACAGATGTTTCTATATATACACTTTTACAGTACAATCACAACAAAAGTCCTTTTTGTCTACATTGAAAACTATTAATATATTATTTTGATGTGACAAAAGACACCAAGATTCTACAACGTTTTGTTCTTTGGAAAAGATGCACACACTTTCCTATACTTTAAATAAATGCCCTTTTCAATCGAGTTTCATAAATTCAGTGCTACATTTTACTTTGCACACAAGGTGGTGCTATTGCACCAAACAGTAAAAAGAGAGATTCATATACTTCAGAATGATCCAGTCATTAGGTAAAGGAATCTCAGAACAAAAGGCAACAGCTCTCAATTAAATTTTGAGAAATTTCCGAAGAAAATATCCAAGCATGAATACCAAAAAATAACTCCCATTGGATTCTGATCACAACTATAAAGGAAATTATAGGAGTTGCTTTATAAAGAATCTTATTGAATGTATGACCTTTCCTGAAAGAGGCTGGGAAAATGGAAGCATCTCGTCCTAGCAGGCAAGTGGTCTTGTTCTTTATTTCTCTATGTAGCTCTGGTATGTGGTGTGAACCATTCTGCTATTCAGTGCCTGAGGAAAAGAAAGCTGGATCAATAGTAGCAAATGTTCTAAAAGATTTGAAAATAGATGTGAAGGAGCTCTCTGCTCGCAGAGCACAGTTGATTTCTAAGACTTCCGGGCAGAATTTCCAGCTGGATCCTCATTCTGGGAATATAATATTGAGGGATAAAATTGACCGAGAAGCTTTATGTGGTCTGAGTGATCCTTGCACTTTATTCTCTGAAATTTTGCTGGAAAATCCTCTTCAATTCTTCAAAATTGAAGTTCAGGTAGAAGATGTCAATGATAATTCCCCTACATTCTCTAAGAATCAATTCCTTTTTGAAATACCTGAACAGACTCCCATAAATGCACATTTCCCCTTGGAGACAGCACATGATTTAGACAAAGGAAAAAATGCTATCCGGAACTACATACTTAGCCCAAACGAATATTTTAAGCTGGACGTACAAAGTCAAAATAATGGCAAGAAATATGCAGAACTGGTTTTGGCAAAACCGTTAGACCGCGAGGTGATCCCTCAGTTTATCCTCACTCTGGAAGCTGTGGATGGAGGGATCC